AAAAGCATGGCTGCCGTTTTACAGCCCTCTAACCAATTGTACTATTTATTATATGTGTTTTTTCGCGTTATTTGTACCGGCTGACTCCGGTAAGACAAGGGGTGGCGGTCTGTGTATATTTGTAAACAACAGCTGGTGCATAAAATCTAATACTAAGGAAGTCTCTAGGTTTTGCACGCCTGAGATAGAGTATCTCATGATAAGCTGTAGACCACACTATTTACCAAGAGAGTTTTCATCTATATTTTTCGTAGCTGTCTATTTACCACCACAAACCGATGCTGGCACTAAGATTGCACTCAATGAGCTGTATAAGGCCATAAGGAAACAGGAAAACGCTCATCCAGAGGCAGCGCTCCTAGTGGCCAGGGACTTTAATGCAGGGAAACTTAAATCAGTTCTACCTAATTTCTACCAGCATGTTAAATGTGCAACCAAAAAAAACTCTGAACCACCTTTACTCCAGACACAGAGACGCGTACAAAGCTCTCCCTCGCCCTCCATTTGGTAAATCTGACCATAACTCTATCCTCCTGATTCCTGTTTATAACCAAAAACTAAAGCAGGAAACACCAGTGACTCGGTTAATAAGGAAGTGGTCAGATGACGTAGATGCTAAGCTACAGGACTGTTTTGCTAGCACAGACTGGAATATAGCATTGAGGAGTACACCACATCAGTCATTGGCTTCATCAATAAGTGCATCGATGACATCATCCCCACAGTGACCGTACGTACATACCCCAACCAGAAGCCATGGAATTACAGGCAACATCCGCACTGAGCTTAAGGTTAGAGCTGCCGCTTTCAAGGAGCAGGGCTTTTACCCAGACGCTTATAAGAAATCACGCTATGCTCTCCAACGAAACATCAAACAGGCAAAGAGTCAATACAGGACTAAGATTGAATCGTACTACACCGGCTCCGACGCTCATCGGATGTGGCAGGGCTTGCAAACTATTACAGACTACAAAGGGAAGCACAGCCGTGAGCTGCCCAGTGACACAAGCCTACCAGATGAGCTAAATCAATTCTATGCTCGCTTCGAGGCAAGCAACTCTGAAGCATGCATGAGAGCATCACCAGTTCAGGATGACTATGTGATCCCGCTCTCTGTAGCCGATGTGAGTAAGACTTTTAAGCAGGTCAACATTCACAAGGCCGCAGGTCCAGACGGATTACCAGGACGTGTACTCCGAGCATGCGCTGACCAACTGGCAAGTGTCTTCACTGACATTTTCAACATGTCCCTGACTGAGTCTGTAATACCAACATGTTTCAAGCAGACTGCCATAGTCCCTGTGCCCAAGAACACTAAGATAACCTGCCTAAATGACTACCAACCCATAGCGCTCACGTCTGTAGCCATGAAGTGCTTTGAAAGGCTGGTCATGGCTCACATCAACACCATTATCCCAGAAACCCTAGACCCACTCCAATTTATATACCGCCCCAACATATCCACAGATGATGCAATCTCTATTGCACTCCACACTGCCCTTTCCCAGCTGGACAAGAGGAACACCTACGTGAGAATGCTATTCATTGACTACAGTTCAGCGTTCAACACCATAGTGCCCTCAAAGCTAATCACTAAGCTAAGGACCCTGGGACTAAACACCTCCCTCTGCAACTGGATCCTGGACTTCCTGACGGGCCGCCCCCAGGTGGTAAGGGTAGGTAACAACACATCTGCCACGCTGATCCTCAACACGGGGGACCCTCAGGGGTGCGTTCTCAGACCCCTCCTGTACTCCCTGTTCACCCACGACTGCATGGCCAGGCACGACTCCAACACAATCATTAAGTTTGCCGACAACACAACAGTGGTAGGCCTGATCACCGACAATGATGAGACAGCCTATATGGAGGAGGTCAGAGACCTGGCCGTGTGGTGCCAGGATAACAACCTCTCCCTCAATGTGATCAAGACAAAGGAGATGATTGTGGACTACAGGAAAAAAAAGAGGACTGAGCATGCCCCCATTCTCATCGACGGGGCTGTAGTGGAGCAGGTTGAGAGCTTCAAGTTCCTTGGTGTCCACATCACCAACAAACTATCATGGTCCAAACATACCAAGACAGTCGTGAAGAGGGCACGACAAAGCCTATTCCCCCTCAGGAGACGGAAAAGATTTGGCATGGGTCCTCAGATCCCAAAAAGTTCTACAGCTGCACCATCGAGAGCATCCTGACTGGTTGCATCACCGCCTGGTATGGCAACTGTTCGGCCTCCGACCACAAGGCACTACAGAGTGTAGTGCGTACAGCCCAGTACATCACTGGGGCCAAGCTTCCTGCCATCCAGGACCTCTATACCAGGCGGTGTCAGAGGAAGGCCCTAAAAATTGTCAAAGTCTCCCGCCACCCTAGTCATATAATGTTCTCTCTGCTACCGCACGGCAAGCGGTACCGGAGCGCCAAATCTAGTTCCAAAAGGCTTCTTAACAGCTTCTACCCCCAAGCCATAAGACTCCTGAACAGCTAATCATGGCTACCCAAACTATTTGCATTGCCCCCCCACCCCACCACACCCCCACCCCCTCTTTTACGCTGCTGCTACTCTGTTTATTATCTATGCATAGTCACTTTAACTCTACCCACATGTTCCTATTACATCAACTACCTCCACTAACCGGCGCCCCGCACATTGACTCTATACCGGTACCCCCTGTATATAACCTCCCTACTGTTATTTTATTTTACTGCTGCTCTTTAATTATTTGCTATTTTTATTTTTTACTTATCTATTTTTTACTTAACACTTTTTTTTTCTTCTTAAAAACTGCATTGTTGGTTAAGGGCTTGTAAGTAAGCATTTCACTGTAAGGTCTACACCTGTTGTATTCGGCGCATGTGGCAACACTTTGGATGGTGTATCAATACACCCAGTCGCTACAAAGACATAGGCGTCCTTCCTAGCTCAGTTGCCGGAGAGGAAGGAAACCACTCAGGGATTTCACCCTGAGGCCAATGGTGACTATAAAACAGTTACAGAGTTGAATGGCTGTGATAGGAGAAAACTGAGGATGGATCAACAACATTGTAGTTGCTCCACAATACTAACCTAAATGACAGAGTGAAAAGAAGGAAGCCTGTACAGAATAAGAATATTCCAAAACATGCATCCTATTTGCATTTAGGCACTAAAGTAAAACCGCAAAAAATGTGGCAAAGAAATGAACTTTATGTCCTGAATACAAAGCTTTATGTTTCAGGCAAATCCAACACAACACATCACTGACTGAGTACCACTCTTCATATTTTCAAGCATGGTGGTGGCTGCGTCATGTTATGGGTATGCTTGTCATTTTTTATGGGGGGAATAGACCTAAGCACAGGCAATATCCTAGAAAACTTGGTTCAGTCTGCTTTCCAACAGACACTGGGAGACAAATTCAACTTTCAGCAGGACAATAAAAAAAATTACATTTACATTTTAGTCATTTAGCAGACTTACAGTTAGTGAGTGCATACATTTTTCATAACCTACAACACAAGGCCAAATATACACTGAAGTTGCTTACCAAGATGACATTGAATGTTCCTGAGTGGCCTAGTTACAGTTTTGACTTAAATCAGCTTAAATCTATCGCAATACTTGAAAATGGCTGTCTAGCAATGATCAACAACAAACTTGACAGAGCTTGAATAATTTGAAAAATAATAATGTAAAGATATTGTACAATCCAGGTGTTTAACGCTTTTAGAGACTTACCCAGAAAGAAAGTAATGTGATTCTAACATGTATTGACTCAGGGGTGTGAATGCTTATATAAATTAGATATTTCTGTATTTCATTTTCAATACATTTTCTTTACATTCTAAAAACATTTTTTCACTTTGTCATTATGGGGTATTGTGTGTAGATGGGTGAGAAAACAAATATATTTCATCCATTTTGAATTCATGCTGTAACACAACAACATGTGGAATAAGTCAAGGGGAATGAATACTTTCTGAAGTTTAGATCAATTATTGTGTGGATTTGGCACTCTATATTATAGTGCTGTGAAAAAGTATTTGCCCCTTTCTAATTTTCTCTACTTTTGCATATTTGTGATACTGAATGTTATCAGATCTTCAACCAAAACGTAATATTAGATAAAGGGAACATAAGTGAACAAATAACACAACAATTACATATTTATTTCATTTATTTCATAAACAAAGTTATGCAACACCCAATTCCCCTGTGGGAAAAAGTAATTGCCCCCTTACACTCAATAACTGGTTGTGCCACCTTTAGCTGCAATGACTCCAACCAAATGCTTCCTGTAGTTGTTGATCAGTCTCTCATGTCGCTGTGGAGGAATTTTGGCCCACTCTTCCATGCAGAACTGCTTTAACTCAGTGACGTGTGGGTTTTCAAGCATGAACTGCTCGTTTCAAGTCCTGCCACAACATCTCAATTGGGATTAGGTCTGGACATTGACTAGGCCATTCCAAAACTTCCAATTTGTAGCTTTTTAGCAATTTTCATGTAGACTTGATTGTGTGTTTTGGATCATTGTCGTGAGAGACTGATCAACAACTACAGGAAGCATTTGGTTGGAGTCATTGCAGCTAAAGGTGGCACAACCAGTTATTGAGTGTAAGGGTGCAATTACTTTTTGAATTAAATATGTAATTGTTGTGTTATTTGTTAACTTATGTTCCCTTTATCTAATATTAGGTTTTGGTTGAAGATCTGATAACATTCAGTATCACAAATATGCAAAAGTAGAGAAAATTAGAAAGGGGGCAAATACTTTTTCACAGCACTATATGCTTGATATGAGGGAGTATCTTCCTCCTCCCACGGTCCTCATGCCATTGGCTGAGAGACGTGATGTCACAGAGGGGACTGCCCTATAAAAGCACTCTCTTCACGCACAACCAGCAGACCACGCTGAGAACTAGGTTCACTGCAGTGACAGAGCTATCATAGACTCCAAAGCTCCGGGAACACTACAGACACTGTGAACAGCACAAAGGATCACATCTCATCGTCACTCACCATGTGCCGAGGACTGGAATCACTGCCTACCACATGTCTGGAGAGGTATGTCTTGCCATAATCTCTACTTTTTATCCCATCACATTTCATGTCACTGGATTTACATTTTGGATTTATATGGATGGGAATTATTGCATAGCTACTTCATGGGGAAATGGGATGATCAGTTGTAAGTAAGGTGTGAATGATTGCATCAATCTAATGTATACTTTTTCTCTATTTTCTCAGGGCAAAGGAACTCAAAGCTCTCTTTGGAAGTTTTCTACAAAAGCCAGATCTGAGCATCATCGGTCACTCAAACAAGACTGACAAACTAAGGTCAGATATTCTATTTGGCTATACAGATTTTTTTAAAACATAATGAAAATGTTGCATGGGAAATGTAGGAGACTTTTAGGATACTATGCAAAATCAATGCTAAGTGATATTGTAATGACTGGATGAACTAACCTGATGCTTTTTATCAACAGGTTAAATAAGAGCGAGCCATTAAAATGGAAGGAGTCGTTTGAGAACCTGCTGTCCAACCAAAGTAAGTCTGACTCTTGCTATGGGTTATCATACTTCTTATTTCTAGAATGATATACCATACATAATTAGTCATACTATACAAGCTTACAAGTACATATTGTACACATGTGTATTGCAAACGTGGATAGGAAAAGCCATGTAGCTGGTACCCCACATAGCCAGAATACATTACACAAAACAGCAGTAGCAGGATGCACTCATAATATCATATCCAAAGATATTATTTGATATATACACTATATGAAAAGCAGCTTGCTTCCACATCACAAATGGACACAGTTCAAAGTGAATTGAAGTTGTGACGTGCTACGATAGATTCACAGATGCTAATGTGCAATTCTCACCTTCCCTTTTCCAGATGGACTGTGCTTGTTCCGAGCTTTCCTGGTGTCGGAGTTTAGCGAGGAGAACATAGCTTTCTACCTGGCCTGTGAAGACTACAGGATAACCAATACCTCCTCAAAGCTATCAGCTAAAGCTAAAAAGATCTATGAGGAGTTTGTCTGCAGTGACGCACCAAGAGAGGTAACTATCAATATATATATACAATTAATAAATTATATCTACATACAGAGTCTGTTTTTAGGGGAATACGTGGATTGGATATACACTGCATAAACACATGCACACATACAAACACACACACACAAAATAATATACTCATTGTGCACAAACAATACTCAATAAAACATTGTTTCATGTAAAACACATAGTAATCAAATGGCCCTCCTCTTCCCCCAGGTCAACCTCGACCATGAGACCAAAGCCATCACCAAGAAGAATCTGGAGCACCCCAGCCAGTCCTGTTTCAGCCTGGCTCAGGAGAAGATCTACGCCCTGATGGAGAAAGACTGCTACCCTCGCTTCCTCAAGTCCACCACCTACCTGGAGATCAGTCGGCAGGTTAAAGCCATTTAAGGCTTGTTAAGACAGGTTAAGGCTGGTTGAGGCTTGTTAAGACTGGTTAAGCCCCACTGCATGCTGAAAAGCACACACTGGAAACCAGGTGGTCTCACTAGGGTCCTCTTCAGTGGAGGAGGGGTCCTGTGCTGCTGGGTCAGAAGTATGGAGGGTGGGCTGAAGATGTAAACTGGATTGAACTGGAAGTCAGTCGGAAGTTGAGACTGGAAATCTCGTCCTGTGGCCTGGGAAAGAAGCCCGCTCACTATAAAGATTGAGGTATTGAAGTCTGTAAAAGTTGAACATGTGTCTTGAAGTCAAAGACGCACAAAGAAGTTCATGGAGTTTGAGCAGAAAGAAAAATTTGATGGAAAAGAAGGACAGCTTTGCATAATCAGTGATGGAGAAGCTGTTATAGTGTTGTATTGTCTGATGCCTGTCTATTTATTTTTGTATTTATTAGCAGTTATTTAATTTTGTTATAGAAATTGTATTGAAATGTTTGCACTGTACAGCACTGTACTGTTCTACATGTTTTATTATATTTATGTATACTTTTTTTATACCCAGAACTCCTTATGTGAAAGGAAATTATTTGAATATAAACGGAACTATATGAAACATCATGATATTAAGTTTTACTCTATTCATTTTCATTACCAGATCCAGCTTTCTTACATATTCAACATTCAATATGTCTCCTCTCTAACATACACATACACTGAAAGGTGACCGAGGGTGAAAACCTTTTACTCTATAAAAAGATAATCACCACCCACTGGGCACACATTGGTTGAATCAACGTTGTTTCCACGTCATTTCATTGAAATTACGTGGAATAAATGTTGAATTGACGTCTGTGCCCATTGGGCACTGATCATGCACCATAGATTCCCATCTGATTGGGATTAACCCCTTGCCTCCGAGTCGCAGGGCTCTTGTGTATGTGGGGGGTAGACCGCAGGAACATCTGGAAGAGCGAATTCTCCTCAGCCTTCCTGAGGTGTTTTCCTGGTATGCGGCCGCGGAGAGCGTGGGCTGGTCGTGGTCTCCATGGAGACTAGCGATCACCCATTGTGCACCTCTTCAGGTTTGCTTACCTCGGCTCGCCCACGAGTGAACTGCTCAGAGCCACGGTGACTCACTTCACTTCCTCCGGCTCTTCCCACTCCTCCCTTCCTCTCTTCCCCCCACTCCTCCCACACAGCAATACAGTACGTTGTCCTACGGAGTTGTTATTCAAAGCCACTTATCGAATAGAGAATGAAGGAAGCCAACCAGCGTCAACCCACTAACTCAGTAACTACAAGGTCAAAGATTATTGGCACATATTCCCTATACAGTGCACTACTATTTACCAGGGCCCTTCCTCTCTGCTAGGAGTATGTACTGTATGCAGTCTGACCACAGGGGAATAGACAAAGCAGTAAAGTAAAGGATATTTGGTCCAACCTATAGACATCACGTAACAGGATTAGATTGTAACTGTGGCAATAGTTGGAAGAGATACATGATTTTATATACAGTATGTATTAATGTTGTCACGATACCAGAATTTGGACTTCAATACCAAAACCAGGTTTAGTATCACGATACTCGATACCATCACGATACTTGATACCAAAATGATACTTGATACCAAAATGATACCACGCCAAATAAAGAAGGAGTATTAGCCAAAGTGAAAGAATGGCACTTGATCCAGACAATATCAGTTCAATATCATTTGAAATGTTTGATTTTCAATGTATGCATTAACAAATAAATTACACACTTTTTCTAACCAATCTAACTACTTAACAACATAAAGGTAATCCCAGTCTCAGTTTTTGACTGTTTTTTACCAGAACCTATTTTGCCGTTCCGATAATTTTCACTTTTTGCAATGTAACAATTGTAATAAAAGCGTTCATTTGAGTTGCCTCTTAGTTAATTCTCCTGCCCCCACAAAAAAAAAAACGTAATGTGAAAAAGTAGATTTTCAGCCCGGCCTAATATTCTAAGAGTTGATTTGGGTTGGGCGGCGCCGGGTTTCTGGTTTGCGCAACATTGTAACCTATGTTTGAGACCAACGCGTGGCCGTGGCTGTGTGAGAAGCGGGCCATTATGTCTCACATGACTAGAATGAGATTCACTTTCTATGATCTCTCTCTACTCTGATCAACATGAGCCTGCAACTCATGTCAATGGAAACAGGGTGCACCTGAGCTCAATTTCGTGTCTCATAGCAAAGGGTCTGAATAATTACGTAAATAAGGTATTATTATTTTTGTAAATTTATACATTTGCAAATATTTCTACAAACATGTTTTCGCCTTGTCATTATGGGGCATTGTGTGTAGATTGATGAGGAAAAAAAATATTTTATAAATTTTAGAATAAGGCTGTAACGTAACAAAATGTGGAAAATGTCAAGGGGTCGGAATACTTTCCAAATGCACTGTATGTTATGTATAATTGTCTTTTCGTTATGTTTGAACACAGATAGCAGGTTAGGCTGTTGTTTCTTCTTCCATTTACAATGGGCTGTTAAGCTGAGATTGGGTTGGGTTGAGGAAGCATCACAACCTGCTGACGGGAGGGATGTATGTGTTGCCACCATAGGGTCACGCACTACTCATAAAGTAAATGTAGAACTTTTATTATTCAAAAACATCAAATACCATCAAATATCGTCATACCGTCCAATTTTTTTTAAAAATACTGTGATATAATATTTTGGCCACATTGCCCAGCCCTAGTATGTATGTGATACGTATTAAGGATACGACTGTGATATGGCGGCAGGCAGGTAGCTTAGTGGTTAAGAGCCTTGTGCCAGTAACCGAAAGGTCGCTGGTTCTAATCCCCGAGCCAACTAGGTGAAAATCTGTCGATGTGCCCTTGTGCAAGGCACTTAACCCTAATTGCTCCTGTAAGTCTCTCTGGATAAGAATGTCTGCTAAATGACCAAAAAAAATATATATATGTGGTTGTCTCGTCTGGCTATCTTAAGATGAATGCACTAGCTGTGGGAGTGTATGCTAAATTGTAATGTAGTGCTATGTACACTACCAGTCAAAAGTTTGGACATACTGTACCTGCTCATTCAAGGGTTTTTCTTTATTTTCACTATTTTTTACATTGTAGAATAATAGTCAAGACATTAAAACTATGAACTAACACATATGGAATCATGTAGTAACCAAAGAATTGTTAAACAAATCAAAATATATTTTATATTTGAGATTCTTCAAATAGCCACCCTTTGCCTTGGTGACAGCTTTGCACACTCTTGGCATTCTCTCAACCAGCTTCATGAGGTAGTCACCTGGAATGCATTTCAATTAACAGGTGTGCCTTCTTAAAAGTTAATTTGTAGAATTTCATCAAGGCAAAGGGTGGCTATTTGAAGAATCTCAAATATAAAATTTGTTTAACACTTTTTTGGTTACTACATGATTCCATATGTGTTATGTCATAGTTTTGATGTCTTCACTATTATTCTACAATGTAGAAAATAGTGAAAATAAAGAAAAACCCTTGAATGAGTAGGTGTGTCCAAACTTTTGACTGGTACTGTATATATATGCATATTATGTACACATTTTATTTGTTATGTTGTTTTATGTTTGGACCCAGGAAGAGTTGCCCGGCAACAGCTAATTGGGGATCGTAATAAATACAAAAAATCCCCTACTAGAAAGTTCCCCAAATGTGTTTCTACCCAGATCCACCTGGGGCCTAGGGCCATTCAAATGACCTTCAACCCATCCAGCAGATAATCTAAACAACATGTCTAGCCTGATTGTCCTTAGTCAGACATAGACCAGTAGGAAGTAGCCGTGACTCATGTGTGGGTCTTAGACCAATATTTGGGAAACACTGCCCTTAGTGTCTCTCTTATCGCGACCACAAGGATTTAATTGGAAATGATCATTTTCACTCACTATGCCATCCCCAAGGGAATACATTTGACATTTTAGTCATTTAGCAGACGCTCTTATCCAGAGCGACTTACAGTTAGTGAGTGCATACATTTTCATACTTACAGTGTTAAACACGTTACCGCCACTCTGGAGAGAAGTCAGTTAAGTCTGGGAAGTGTTTCCATGGTAACAGTCACACAGTAGGAATTCCTTTGAGTAGCCTACTAACTCTCTGCCTCATTGTGGTGAGATGGATGGAAAACAATACAGGTTTCAATGCTAGTTCACTGCAACTACGCAAACAGTTTATAATCTGTTCCTAAATAAATGACTCATCTAATTTTTCATCCAAATTTTATTCTTAGAATGGTTTTCCACATTAGCACCATTCTCAGCTAAGATATGAATAGCCTCATGATGTGAAGCTCGTATAGCCTCATACTGTAAAGGATTCATGGTTGAATTTGGAATGGTTTACTAAACCGTTTCTTGGAGCTTCATAGGTAGGGCCACGAGTTTTTTCCTGACCCCGTGACTGGACCAGGTATAACTCTGGGCCCTAGTTAGAGGTATAGTGAGAGTCCTCAGGCTACGGGGATAGGAGTTTTTCCTGGTCAAGATACAGCCGTTCCCTGTACAGAATCGTCTAGATGATCGGATTACTAATGATTCACTGATAAACATTACTTATCATTAAAAAAGACCATATCCGCCTCCCGAGTGGCGCAGCGGTCTACGGCACTGCATCGCAGTGTTGCAGCGTCACTACAGCCTGGGGTTCGATCCCTGCAGGCTGACTTCGGTCGTCAGCTGAGCAGTGTTTCCTCCGACACATTGGTGCAGCTGGCTTCCGGGTTAAGCGGGCGGGTGTTAAGAAGCACGGTAGCGGGTCATTTTTCGGAGGACGCATGACTCAACATTCGCCTCTCCTGAGCCCGTTGGGGAGTTGCAGCGATGAGACAAGATCGTAATCACGAAAAGGGGGTAAAAATTACATAAATAATAATGAATAATTAATTAATTAAAAGACCATCTCCATTCTATCTCACATTCTTCTTATGATACTGTGTGGGTGTCGTGGGAGAAAATATTCCT